CCTTTCTAATTATAGAAAGCGTTTTTAGTTCATTATTTTTTTGAAAAACTAAATAAAAAATAAAAAAATAATAAAACAAATATATAGAACAAAAAACAAGAAGGCATACATAACAAACAAACATGGAGGATGACGGGTGGCAGACTGTGCGCTACGGCAGACGCAGGAAGCGCACCCGTTCACCATACTGGGGCGGGTATCAGGGGTCTGGGCGGGGAATGGCCAGAGCATTCACCTCCTCCTCAGGGAGGGGGTATCTGAACCCTTCCCCTAACCCTAACCCTAACCCCTTCAGGGGACGGGATCAGTTCCCCTTCCCTAACCCTAACCCTAACCCTCTATTCAACCAGGATGCCCAGTGGCATCATGGGGAGAGTCATCGAGATAGTTTTCCTCAACCTAACCCTAATCTTAACCCCTTTTCCTAATCCTAACCCTAACCACTATCCCTTTATAATAATTCCAATTCATGAATAATTTCATAAAAAATGTTTTATTAACAAAGGGTTAAAAATTAATTTCATTTGTTATAAATATATAGGATAAATATTTCCAATTGATAATACATAGGAATATACATTTAATTCAGAATATCAAGGGGGAAGAAAAGATTAAAAAGGTTAATAAGTTAAAAACATTTTAATTAAATTAATTAACTAATTAATATTAGGCTAAAAACAGTTATTATTATTTAGGACATCAGATTAAAAAAGATATGTAAAGGACATTTGTTGTTTAGGGAGTTAAAACATATAAATTTTGATTGGCATACAAGGGGTTAAAGCTTACACAAAGATTTGGGAAAGTGAAACTTAAGAAAAAGCAGAGAAAAAAAAGTGGGAGGGTATAAATAGAAGGGCAGAGAGAGCTGCCTCTCATTCTTGCTCTGACCAGCAGAAAACACACAGCTTGACAGCAGAAAAGCCGCTTGTTGTATAATTATTTTTTTTCAGTGTGCCTTGGCCTGAAGAAGACCTTTTTAAAGGTCGAAACGTTGCCTCATAGGCACACATTTTGATTTGGTTTTTAAATAAATATATTTTTTCAATTTATTTTACTATTATTTTATTAAAAACAAATTGGATTATTAAAAAGAAAAAATTCATATTCTTTTGATTTATAATTAATATATAGCAAAGCCTCTAATAATAAATCATTAAAATCAGCACAGGAAAGTGAAACTTAAAGAAAAGAAACTCAAGGGAGTATAAAAGGAGGGGCAGACTACAGCTCATTCTTACTCTGACTTTCAGAAGGAAAACAGCTCTCCAGCAAGTTAAAAACAGCCAGCTCTTTTTCTTTTTTCTCGGTGCACCTTGGCCTGAAGAAGATCCATATAGGATCGAAACGTTGCCGTTTTGGTGCACAATAATTTAGATTAAAAACAATTTGATTTTTTATTTTGAATAAAAACAAATTCATTTTCATTTTTCACATTTTATTTTTTTTTTTTTGAACATTTAAAAGAAAACACAAAAATAAAAAAATACATATTATAAATACATTCAATTCATATCTATGATAAAAAATAAATAGTTTTATTAATAAATAACAAAGGCTAAATTAAGAACACAGAAATAAAGCCCAATATGGGCTACGAAGATGAGGGTGGGGGATGGACGACCGTGCGCTACGGGCAGAGGCGTCAACGCTCCCGTCAACGTCATTGGGACCGGGGTGGGGGAACCGAGCGAGGGAAGGACCGTGCACCTCCCGGCCCCTTCAGGGGACGGGATCAGTTCCCCTTCCCTAACCCTGGTTCTCTTAGTGGAGCTCAACTATCAAGATCAGGAGCCACACAGGACATCTATCAAACAGCTATAAGTGTTACATAGGAGAGTTAGAATGACTTTCCCTATTGCAGACCAACAGGCCAGATCCTCAATAACTTACGCTTCACCTCAGCAGGTTTCTGACACAACCAGAAAACAAACACTGGATACTTGAAATGGCAGAGCTAATTTTTGCCCAAATAAATGTATAATTTTCCCCAAACATAACCAGGGGAGAGAAGCTCACCCTCTGACCCCAAGTGTGGGAAACCCGCAGCTACCAGGGGAGAGGAAAACCATCTCCTACCTCTCATCTCCCCCTCCTCCTCCTTCTCCCCCTCCATCCCTGGAGAAGAATCCTGCTCAAAATCCATCTTTAGTATGGCAGGTGTAAGCATGAATTCTACATCATATTTTAGAGCTATTACACTCAATTGTCACCTGAAACTTGAGAAGTATTTCAAACACAACACATTCACCTAACTGAAAATTATACTTTTCTTCATTGAGGAAATATTTTTAATAATTAACTTTTAGCTACTATTAACTATTTTTTTAACCATAGAGGCCTATTTTGTTTGTATTCTGTTGTCTATTACTGATTCATTCCCTATATAGAAAATATGAATTCAGCCATAATTAATTGCAAAGTTAAGGCATGGTAATATGGTCTACAGGACGTTTGGGGAAAATTGGTAATAATGACCTCTGACACAAAATCCACTGTATTTTTTTGCACTGATGGTAAGAGGCATGACTGTGACGGCTGCTCTGGACCCAGGACATGAAGACAGTTCACCGGCCGGGTGCAGATTTACAAACAGACATTAAAACATATAGGAAGTCTGCAGAGTTACATTCAGAAAAAATATTCAACCTCAGAAAAAAGTTACATATTAACAGTGTTATTAGCTGAAATTAAATAATAATATTACAATAACATTATTACAGCTTTTAGCCTTCTTAAAATTACCTAACAGTTGCTCCCCTAACATACACAGACACACACACACACAAACACACAACACACACACATACACACACCCCTCACAGATGGTACAGTCTCCCCACCCCCTTCCGTGCCCCATGTCTGAGACAATAGTTTGAGCTGAATGAGTGGACACAGTTAAAAGGTGCAGACCACTGTTTTTACATGATTTAACCATTGTGTCACATTACATCATTTAATAAAAATGCTTTCAGGTTATGTCAGATCCTACTTTTCCTGCTCTGCTGTTCTGTTAAATATTTTGATACATTCATTTGATAGTTTTTATTTTAAAGCAGAAATTTTCTTGATGTTTAACAGTGAAGAGAGTGAAGTGTTATAGTGGTTTGAGTCTGCTCAATCATTCATCCTTTTTAACTGATTTGTAAAGATTTAACTGGAGACCTGTGGTGGGTTAACTTGTACTCAACTGAGCAGTTTGGTTAATTATGTTTGGTTTTTTTTCAAATGACATAAGAACGACAACATTTTATTTGCACTTTATGACTTTCTATTAAATTCTGAATTTGAACAATAACTAAAATGAAATGTTGACTTTGATTATCTGTTTGCACATTCTTGTATGTATGGGTTAATTTAAATAAACTGAAACTAGTTTGTAACAACAAAGCTAGGAGACAAATATTTATATGAATGAAGCAATTCATGTTCCAACAAAAAAAAAAAGTCTTTGTGCATTTCAGTTTCATTGTTACAAACATCAGTCATTTTTAATGATTTAATGTTTTATGACTCAAACACTTAAATATTCCAGCAGATTGGTTATTTAAAAAAGGAGCAGGATCCGCCCCCATCACCAGGTCAGATGGTACAGTCCACCCCTCCCCCCTCCCACTTCTCTTATTGAACTGAATGAATGAGAGAAAGAAAGAGAGAGAGGGGTAGAGAGAGGTAAAGGCATTGCGGCGTTCCAGCAGAGACTCTGCAGCAACACATTCAACACATTCCTCTGAACCAGATTTATTCTGCCAGCTAATACTGGTTCAGCTGCACTGAGAAAACTCAGTCAGACACAGTCTGACTCCAGTTAGTACTGGTTAAACTCTTCTTAGTCCCATTTAAATTCCAGTTAGAAACTTAAACACTCAAGTTGAACTCGTGCCTGCAGAGATGAAGTTGTTGCTGTTGTTGCTGCTGATGGAGCAAACTGCAACTCAGCAGAGAGGTAAGAAATTTCTTTTTCACTTGATTTTTACTGTCTTTTCTGATCTCTACTGAGTTCTACTGCTAACACTGAAGAGTTGGAAGTCATGTCAGTAGTTCAAAGTCAGAAATTTGTGTCAGAAATTATTTAAAATACAATCTCCAAAGAGTTTGTTGAGTTCAGCTCAAAGATGGAGTCTGAAACTTGCTTTCTTATTGTCTCATTGGTTTTTTAACAAATGTTGTTATTTTTTGAACTTGACAGCTCTTGAAGTTTTCCAATACAGATATATCAGTAACTCTGTTTGATCACTTTTACCCTGAGCTCGGCTCTGTAGCCTGTCAATATATCAATCGATCAATCTGATCAAACTTCACATTGGAACATTTTCAATAATGAAAATGTATCTAAAATAAATGTTTTATTTGTGTGAAGATTGCATCACACAAATATATTTTAACTGAAATATTGATATCTTGTACAGGCACATTAAATTCTAATTTCATCAGGATATTACATTTGCTTATTTTTGCTGGACTGTTAACCATGAGCTCTGTTAGCTGTAAGCACTATTAGCTCTTTAGCTGTTAGCTACGTAAACCCTGTTAAAGTTTGCGTGTTTTCATGGGTGAATTGTCAGACCAAACGTAGATTTCAGACAATTTGTCACTTTGCATGAAGTTGCAGTAATGACTTCAAATTATGGGGATTGAGTAATAAGATTTACAATCAAATGGATCAATATCCACTAATGTCTGTTACATGAGGTATTTCCCTGAGGTCTTTCTGAAAGGCTCTTTTGTTCTCTAAGGTTTGTATTAAATCCTTCTACAGATGTGACTTCTAGTGAATTCTTATATTTTACACAGGCACAAATATACTGTTATCTCTTTATAGTTGTACTGATTCACTCAGACAGGCTTCACTATTGAGTTTTACTGTGTGTTTCTGAGTGTGGTGATGCAGGACAGAAACAGAAGCTGAATGGTTAAACTTATGTTGAAGTTTATTTTGTAGGTTTTTATCAGAGAGTAACTGATGTGATGTGTTAGCATCTTAAACCTGGAGAGAAATTTAACTTTATAAATGGGTGATCAAAGAATCAGCAGCTGATCAATGTGTGTGATAAACATATTGATGAGTGTCATCAGACAGACAGACAGTGTGTCCTGCTGGGAAACAGCTAGTGTGTGTGTGTGTGTGTTAATTACTGTTAATAATCACACTCCACCCTCTTCCTCTCTACCACCCTAAAACCTCCCCCACAATGCAACAGTCTCTCCTCACGGTGTGTGTGTGTTGTGGGGGAGGGGTCAGAGGTCAGTTTGAACATCAACATGTTATTACTGTGTGTGTGCACTCTCTGTTGAGGTTTTTAAACACATCATTTTGATGATGACCAAGGGAACAATATAGTTTGACTTCCTGCTTCCTGACTTCTGATTGGTCTGTCTGAATGACATGATTTGTACATTTGTAATTATTGTGGAGTTAACAACAGGTTTACCTGTCTGTAACAACATCAGCTGTGATGTCACATCCACACCTACAGGTTTAATCTGCACTTCAGAAACCAAAATTTTAACAATACTAAACCTAATAATATGTAGGTACTATAGGATAATCAACTAATCAATAAACCAGACTGATGTCGATAATCTTTCTAACCCTGTCAATGAGGGAACAGAAACAGCTTAGTTAGACTCAACCTCAGATCAAACCTCGTTCATGAGATCAGTCACTGGACTAAATCATCTTCACTTTGATTTCAGAAAAATCTAGTCAGTGTTTACTCAAAGGAGAAACCAGGTGATTACAGCACAGGTAAACATGAGTGATTACATCTGTGACCTCAGTTCTCTGAGTAACATGGTCACATTGGTGTATAGAGCTGTTAAACTGTTTTACATTTGAAAGTGTGTATCAGACCACCCAGCTGATGTTATCACGCCTCCACAGCTGATCACACACATCACTCATTAACATCTGTGTGTGTTTCATTGTGTTTGTGTGTTTACATTTGAATCTCTTTACTGATAAGGGGTTCAAATGTAAAACCTTTAGAAGTTTTGAGGTATTTCTTGTGTTTACGCTGATTCTAAAGTGTCAAACTGCAGTAAAGAATTAATGTGAACACAGACAGACGGAGGTCAGTCTGGTTGTTACTGAGACCATGATCTGTTCAAGGTAAAGATGAAGGAACAGACACAACAGTCTGATTTCACTGTTTAAACAACTTTGTTAAAAATGTTTAAAACTCAGTCATGTGAAGTCATCAGTGAGGAAGGACATGATAATCAATCAGTTAGTGATGAAACAGTTTCACCTTTGACCTCTGAACTAAACACCAAAGCTTGTCTGTGTTGACGGCTAGCTTCACTCTGATCATTTAATCCTACTTTGTTTTAATGTTAGTGATTTTATCAGTTTTTTGTGATGTCAGTGGTGAGACTGTTATTCTGCACACTGTATAATAGACATGTTCTCACTTTATATTTTCATCTCTAGTAGTAGAGGACTGCATTGTAAGTTTACTGTAATTTTTTAGTTTTGTTAAATTAAATACATCTACAGTCAGTTTATCTGTAAAAGTCACATGATCATAAATTGCAGTGAAACTTGTTTCCATCAGGGTTTAACAAACAGACAAATGAAAATCACAGCAGGAAAGCAGCAGCTGAGTCAACACTGAGTGTGGATTCTTTTTCTTCTGGCTTTAAATGCAACTCTAACACTGAGATGTAAAGCTGTCTGTCATCTTGACCAGAGGGTTGATTAAAAACATCTGTATTATTTTTGTGTATTTTATTAAAGTATCAGGTTTTTGTGTTTGTGGACTGTCAGGACTTCATACGATTATCAAACCTCCATCTTCTGTACTTAATGTCCGTAATCGTATATAAGCATCATGGTCATATCATCACATGGTGTTACAAGACACAGCCTCAGGAAGTGAAATGTAACCACAATATTTTTAGATGCTGACTCACCTGACTGTTTACCTGCAGAAACACCTGAAGTGTCTGAGTCACAGTCTGAATGTCTGAGTCACAGGGTGAAATATGTTGTCTGGTTGTATTTCAGGTCTGTTTCCCGCCATCTTGAACCTGGCCAGTAATGCAGTGATCAGCAGTAATGCCACATGTGGAGAACCAGAACCTGAGGTCTATTGTAAACTCGTCGAACACGTTCCAGGACGAAGAATCAAGAACCCACACTGTCCAAAATGTGATGCCAACTCCATCCTGTCCAAAGGTGCCACACCAAAACCAGAACCACACAGTCCACTTTGAACTGTACCAGAACCACACAGTCCACTTTAAACTGCAACAAAACCAGAACCACACAGTCCACTTTGAACTGTACAAAAACCAGAACAAGTAAAACAAGGAAACAGTGACATGTCTCCCTGAGCCACGTTCTGCAGAATGAAACAGTTACTAGGAATAAAATAAATATTAATCCCCCTCTACCCCAAGCAGTTTCTGGGCATTTTTTACCACTTATCACATTTTTACTTACTGTGGGCTCATTTTTCACTGAAATATAAAGTCTTGCACCTCAATGGAAACAACACAACCATGGCTAGAAGTATGTCTTTATAGTGTCATAAATCAACGGAACTTTGGGTTAAGGGGGAGGTGGCAAACACTAATTTACACAATGAAGTATACAACAGGAAGAAGAAGTAATTCCGGTACAATTATTCAGGTGAAAGACAGCACATGTTCTGGGGTTGTGTAGGGGGGTGGGGTGGATGATCAGTGTGTTTCACTGAGCTCATATTAATACTCACATAATACCAGTCAGCAGCTGCAAAACATAATTATTATTGTGGTGATCTGATTATTAATCACCCTCCATCTGAACCCTGGTTTTACCTTCAGTGAATCCATCATGTCTTATCAGTAAAGTACAGAAGTACTGCAATACACTATTGCTACTTCACAGTAGTACATTATCAGTACTTCTGTGAAGTACTACTAGTACTTCTCAGCAGTAACAGTACATCTATGTGTGTGTACCTCAGAACGTCATCCAATCACAAACGCCATTGATGGGACAAATCAGTGGTGGCAGAGTCCAAGTATCAAGAATGGACGACAGTTCCACTGGATCACCATTACACTGGACCTCAAGCAGGTAACACTTCAGGTGTTCAGGTAACACACTAAAACACACACATGCAGACACGTCACCTGTTTAGGTGTTCAGGTAAGACCTGTTCAGGCTGAATCTTCTCTGCTATCACTACAGTCAGAGTACAGGAGGAAGCTGCTGTATATTAACATGTTACCAGGTGGCTAAAACACAGATACATGTCTGATTATACCTGTAACCTTGGTTCTCTGAGGTAATTGGTGTGTCAATGTATTTTTCTGTTCAGATTTTTCAAGTTGCCTACATCATCATCAAGGCAGCTAACTCTCCACGCCCAGGTGAGATCAGCCTGTCTGTCTACCTGTCTGTCTGTCACAGTGTCATTAACACTAGATTCAGACATATTTATATCCTACACATACACACTGACAGTCACATCACAGTCTGCCTGTCTGACTGACCTGTCTGTCTCTCAGGTAACTGGATCCTGGAACGCTCTCTGGACGGTGTGACCTTTGACCCCTGGCAATTTTACGCCATCAGTGATTCTGAGTGTTTGACACGTTACAACATCACACCGAGACTCGGACCTCCAACCTACAAAAGCGACACAGAGGTCATCTGTACGTCTTACTACTCGAGACTAAACCCACTGGAGCATGGAGAGGTGAAACTGTCTGCCTGCCTGTCTGCCTGTATACCTGTCTATCTGTCTGTCTGTAAGTCTTACTACTCCAGACTGAACAGAAACTGAAGTGAAACAAGTTGTCTCTCTCTCTCTCTACCTGTCTGTCTCTTAGATCCACACCTCTCTGATCAATGGACGACCCAGTGCCGATGATTTGAACCCTGACCTCCTGAACTTCACGTCAGCTCGTTACATCAGACTGAGACTTCAGCGAATCAGAACTCTGAACGCCGACCTGATGACACTGAGCGCCCGTGACCCTCGAGAGATCGACCCCATCGTCACCCGGAGGGTGAGACACACAAAAAGAAAGATAGATAGATAGATAGATAGATAGATAGATAGATAGATAGATAGATAGATAGATTCATTAAATGTTTTACTTCCTTTTTATATTATGTTTCATCTCGCCATTTATTTTTATTTATTTTCTCACTTTCTGACTTTCTTCATTATTCATTTTTATTTTCTTTAATATTGTTTTTTCTCTCAGTATTATTACTCCATCAAAGACATCTCTGTGGGCGGGATGTGTATCTGTTATGGACACGCTCAGAGCTGCCCACTAGACCCCGTTACCAAGGTAGCAACACACACCTGTTCTCATGTACACACCTGTATAGTGTTCTGCCAGGTGATGGGATGTTTCTATGGACTTCAACCTGTGTGTGTGTGTGTGTGTGTGTGTGTGTGTGTGTGTGTGTGTGTGTGTGTGTGTGTGTATACACAGAAGCTGCAGTGTGTGTGTGAACACAACACCTGTGGAGAAAGCTGTAACAAGTGTTGCACCGGTTACCACCAGCAGCCATGGCAACCAGGAACTGTCTCTGAGGGAAACACATGTGAAAGTAAGAGAGTAAAAAAAACACATTTAAAAACAGTCTCTCTCACCTCTCTGCCTCTCACCTGTCTCTCTCTCAGCTACCTCTCTCTCACCTGTCTCTCTATTACCTGTCTGTCTCTCTCTCACCTGTCTCTCTCACCTGTCTGTCTATCAGAATGTAACTGTCACAACAAAGCCATCGACTGTTTCTACAATCAAACCGTCTCTGAGCTCTTTCTGAGTCTGAACTTGCACGGCGTACGGCAGGGGGGAGGAGTTTGTATCGACTGTCAACAAAACACATTTGGCATCAACTGTGAGATGTGCAGAGATGGATTCTACAGACATGCTGAGGTACATCACAGACCTGTAAACCTGGAGGACTGAGTCCATGATAAAGATTAAAGACCTAACTCAGTGTGTGTGTGTGTGTGTGTGTGTGTGTGTGGGTGTGTGTGTGTGTGTGTGTGTGGGTGTGTGTGTGTGTGTGTGTGTGGGTGTGTGTGTGTGTGTGTGTGTGGGTGTGTGTGTGTGTGTGTGTGTGGGTGTGTGTGTGTGTGTGTGTGTGTGTGTGTGTAGGTCTCTCCATATTCAGACTCTCCCTGTGTCGAGTGTGACTGTGATCTGAGAGGATCGAAGTCTTCAGTCTGTTCCAGAGATGACACAGAGCCAGGTTATTATCATTGTCAATGTGTTTGTGTCTAATACAGCAGCAATAAAGACGAGTTCTCTGACGTGTGTGTGTATTCAGGTATGTCTGCAGGTCAGTGTGTGTGTCATGAGGGCTTCACTGGTCGACGGTGTGATCGTTGTGCGTTTGGATACAGAGATTTTCCTCAGTGTCTTCGCTGTGAGTGTGACCTTTCAGGCAGCATCAACACCGACCCCTGCAGCCCCTGCACCTGCAAGGTAAACTGTGACATCATCATAGGGGGGCGGGGGCTACCTGCAGTTTCAGTTATTAATAGATTTAACATCGCAGGGCAGGACAGACATGAGTATGGTCTTCAGTATGCCGACATCTCACCTATTCCATAACATCTTTCCAGTTACCTGACATCTGACCTGTTCCGTGACATCTGTTGTCTCTTCCTCAGATGAACGTGATGGGAGCTCACTGTGATCTGTGTAAACCAGGTTTTTACAACCTGCAGGAGAAAAATCCACTTGGCTGCACTGACTGCTTTTGTTTTGGTGTGTCTGACGTCTGCGAGAGCTCCACCTGGTCCACAGCTCAGGTAACACACACCTGTATACAGGTAACACACAATCATAAACATAAATATACCTGTACACATACACACCTCATGTAACACATCAGTATATCGTATAATTTCTGCTTATGTTTTTTGTTCAGGTGTTTCATACAGATGCTTGGCTCCGCCCCTCTCAGGCTCTCCACACACCCCCTATTATCCATGGCAATGACCTCCCTATTCCCGGCAACACCTCATCTGGACACACCCATCAACATGTGCTGTCGTGGGCAGCCCCTGCTAGTTTCCTCGGCAACAAGGTCGGCTACCATTTCCATATTTGGACATAATGCCACCAATCAGTGAACAGCAGCGTGACTTCCTGTCTGTGTGTTTCTAGCTGCAGTCTTACGGAGGTTACCTGAACTACTCAGTGGTCTATGACGTCCCATTGGACAACAAATACCATTCTCTCCCCATCCGTTCTGACATTATCATTGAGGTGACAAAAATTCAGACAAAGTTTGGGATTAAAAATTACAATCACAATGTCTTTACAAACTACAAAACACAGGCTGAACTGATCCATTCTGGTCTCATCTCCAGGGTAATGGGAAGGCTCTTCGTCTCTCACCTCTTTTCCTCCTCTTCCTCTCTCCGCTGTCCGAGCGCTTCGTTGCCATGGCAATGGTTCCACAGCAGTTTGTGGATGATCAGACAGGTGTTAAAGTGAACCGCGATGACCTGCTGTCAGTCCTCACTGACATGACATCACTGAGGGTCAGAGTTCACCTAAATGCCTCTGCTGAAGGGCCAATACGGTAAGGAAAAGTAATCCGATTACATCTAACAAGAAGTAATCTGATTACATGTAATAAAATGAGTAAGTGAGTACAGAAGAAACACTTGAAACAACAGGACAAAAGTGTGGAAGAGATTCCCTCTCAGGTACTGAAGACTCTGGACACTGTTGGACTGTCCTGGTGGACTCTTCAGTGTCTCATGCCTGTGCTCTGCAGACTGGACTGGTAGTTCTTAAAGACAACCTGACAGTCCTGAGAGGAGACAGATTGTAGATCCTCAGATTCAGGAGGACTGATGTGGATCTGTCCTGGTCCTGTATCAGTGGACCAGTTGTTTACTCTTGCAGGGATACTGGATGAGTCATAGAAGTACCCACCTTCACACACACACATACACACAATCCCCCACGTACTGTTGGAGTCTGAGGTACCAGAGCTGTTTCTTGTCCAATATGTTATCAGTGGGTGTTGATCCAGATCTGGATCTGAAGGGGGTCATTATTGTTCTCCGTTTAATCTAATGACTCTGTCTGTCCCTCAGACTCAGTTCAGTATCTCTGGATGTTGCTGACTCTGGATCCGCGTCTGGGGTTCAGGCAGTTGCCGTGGAGACATGTGAATGTCCATGGGGCTATAGTGGCACTTCCTGTGAGGTCAGCCGTTCACTTTTTAAAACTTGGTTATTTTACACTTGCTAATACTGTTAGTACCATTAGTACCGTTAACATTTATTATTGTTTTATTTTGTGATTCACATGTTTATTCTTCATCATTGTTTTTGATATATATATATATATATATATATATATATATATATTTATTTATTTATTTATTCATTCTCTTTATTTATTCTTTTTATTCTCAACAGAGCTGCTGTAACAATAAAGTAATGATGTGTGTTTGTGTGTGTTCATGTGTTGTACTTGTTTGTGTGTTGTAGGCGTGTCTCCCAGGTTTTTATAGAGTGGGAGGAGTCTTGTTTGGAGGAAACTGTATGCAATGTGAGTGTAATGATCACGCCACTGAGTGCGACATCAACGGAGTTTGTTTGGTAAGTTTGAACAAACACAATCAACAAACAATGAAAGTAAACAAAGTGAAGCAGAAGGAATCATGATCACTGTTTGGAAACATTAAGAAGCAGCTTTCATGTTTTTTACAGCATAATGTAGAGAGCCCAAACTGTCTCTCTCTCTGACCTGTCTCTCCCTGACCTGTCTGTCTCTCTCTGACCTGTATCTCTCTCTTACCTGTGTCTCTCTGACCTGTCTCTCTCTGTCTGTCTCTCAGGGTTGTACCCACAATACCACAGGTCCTCACTGCAATCAGTGTCTCCCTGGTTTCTATGGCGACTCAACTGAGGGGACAGCAGATGACTGTCTGTTGTGTCCGTGTCCTCTGACGGAGCCGTCCAACAGGTGTTTCATCAAACTTCATTAATTAACATGTTGACAGTTTGTGAGTATAAATAATTTCAATAGAATTAATACTGTGTGTGTGTGTGTGTGTGTGTGTGTGTCTGCTTGTTTCAGTTTCAGTCCCACCTGTTTGCTGGAGGCACCTGGTCACGTGTCATGTAACCAGTGTCAGGACGGATACACAGGGACCAACTGTGAGAGGTGAGGACTGACGGGCTGATTTAACAATCAATGGACAGGTGGACCTGGTGTAACACCTGTGTCTGTGTCTCCAGGTGTGCCAGTGGTTACTATGGTAACCCACAGGTGGTGGGTGGAGCCTGTGTTCTCTGTGAGTGCAACGACAACGTGGATATCAGCAAGGCGGGACACTGTGATACCGTCACCGGGGAGTGTCTGAGTTGCCTCGGCAACACAGCTGGGAGACACTGTGAGGTCTGTCAGTCTGGTTACTATGGAGACGCCGTGCACACTAAGGACTGCCGGGGTGAGCCACACACACCTGTTGTGACATTCCTGGTGGGAACTGGTTCTTTTGGCCAGGCCCCAGTACAAAGTGATAGATTAAAGAGCTGAGAGCTGATTGGTCGGTTTGTATCTGAAACACAATGTCATCAGTAAAAACCTTCACTTTAATAGACAAAACATCCTGAAGTTTAGACTGCACACACACACACCCACACACACACACACACACACTCTGTCTTGTGTGTGTAGCAGCAAGAATGTTGATCTTTTCAAATCCAGATTAGATTTGACCTCTGACCCCTTTGTTTCTGCTGTCACATGACTGTGGTCATGTGTGTGTGAGAGAGAAACCTCATTAAACTGATTAACTGATCAATCACCAGATAGTCAATGAGCAATAACAGATTAACCATGAAGACACTGGAGACAATGAAGATCACTAAAGGTTATTAAAGAATTGTGACGGTGACTGATTCACATTCTGTTTAAGCTTTACTTTGATGTTGACATTTATTCATGTAAGGTCCAAGTGATTCCAGTGCTCCGCCATATCAGTGTAACAGGAACACAGACTCATGGGACATGTAGTTGTTTGAATGTGTACTGTGAACACAAGTTCAGAGATAAACTGTGCTGGGGGCGATAGACAGGGACCAACTGAGAGAGGAGAGTGGTGGGCGGAGTCTCCCATCGGACTGATGGTGGGCGGGGTCTCTCTCTCTCTATCTCAGAATGTGGTTGTGATGACAACGGCGCCCTCTCCAGTGTGTGTGATGTCACAACAGGTCAGTGTTCCTGTAGAGAAAACGTGACGGGACGCACCTGTGACCGTTGCCAGGTGAGACACACACAAAGACATACACTGTAACACAGACACAGAAATATATCAAAACAGTGTCATCACCTGGAGCTTTCATCACACCTCATGATCTTCCTCAGTATAGCCTGATGATGCTGATTTTAGAGAGTAAAAAATTCCAATTCCAATAGCAGTCCATCAGCCTATATTCTTATATTTTACATTTACAACAGGTGGATGTCAGGATTATACACCTGTATGTATTTATACTGTATAGATACATACACATATGGTTATGATTAGGTCAGGGTTAAAACTAGTTAGGGGTAGGAACATGGTCAGCTATGATTTAAGTATAGTATTATTTATTTACTCTCCAGTATTCCATCTCACCACCTTCATAACAATGTAATGTAAACTCAACACATGTGTGACGTTTCTCAACTCCATGTGATGCAGACAGTGGAGTGTAAACAATGGAGAGACAGACAATCTGTAAAATAGTAAAAATAGTTTTCACATTGGCATATATGAGACAATACTGATATATGTGTGATCTCTATTCCCTCAGCAGAGTTGTCCACGTGTGTGATAATTTTTTTTTTTCAGTCGGGGTTCTTCGGGCTGCAGAGTGGGCGGGGCTGTCAGGTCTGCGGCTGCTACCAATCTGGATCTGTTTCTGAGTCATGTGATGACAAGGGCCACTGCCAATGTGTGGAGGGTGTGGGTGGACACAAGTGTGACCACTGTAGTCGTGGCTACTATGGATTCCATGGCAGTGGCTGCACAGGTAAATTAAAAGAAAAAGTAATGTAGTACCACTGATGATTGGTTGACTTTCCCATCTCTAAGTGGCTGTGATGTGCTCCTCTCCCAGCATGCACCTGTGATCACACGGGTGGGAACTGTGACCCTGAGAATGGAGAGTGCACCTGCCCTGCCCACACAGAGGGAGACACCTGCAACAGGTGCAAAGCAGGTTACTGGGGTCACAACCAAACTACAGGCTGCAAGGTACAGACACAAACACACACAAATACACACATATACACACAGAGAGAACTGCTGCGACAGCTGTGACACAAACTACTTCCACTCTCCTCAGCCTTGCAGCTGCAGCATGGCAGGAAGCTCCACCCCTCAGTGTGATCTAACCAATGGACAGTGTCGCTGCAGAGATGGGTTCTCTGGCAGGTCATGTGAACTGTGTGCACCTGGTTACCATGATTACCCTACATGCTCAGCGTGTGGCTGTGACATAGCAGGAACAGATGAGAAGTTCTGCAACACAACACTGGGAGTGTGTGACTGTCGAGACACTGGAAAGTGTGTGTGCAAGGTAATGTGTTTCGATTTGTCCCTTTAGTGACCTCTAGTGGCAGCTGAAGGAAACTACACATCAGTAAACTTCTTGACTTCTTTATAACACAAAATGTTTTGTTGTATCTCAGTTCTCAGTTGGAACAGTTCATTTCAGGATTCTACTGTAATCTGAGTCTCATATCAGTTCATATCAGCGAACATACAGTTGTTCTCCTGTGTGTGCGTTTCTGTGTGTGTAATTATATATGCTTATTCAGGTGGGTGTGACGGGGCAGCGTTGTGAGGAGTGTGTCTCTGGTTGGTTCGGTTTGTCAGCTGTGAATCCAGACGGCTGCTCTCAGTGTTTCTGTTCAGGACTGAGCCAAGAATGTGAAGAGCAGGGAGGACTCAGAAGAGTACCTGTGAGTACATGTGCTATATACAGTTGTGTGAAAAAGTGTTTGCCCCCTTCCTGATTTCTTATTTTTTTGCATGTTTGTCACACTTAAATGTTTCAGATCATCAAACAAATTTAAATATTAGACAAAGATAACACAAGTAAACACAAAATGCAGTTTTTAAATTAAGGTTTTTATTATTAAGGGGGAAAAAAAATCCAAACCTACATGGCCCTGTGTGAAAAAGTGATTGCCCCCCCCCCCGTTAAAACATAAATTAACTGTGGTTTATCACATCTTTGGAAAGCTGAGTTCAATTTCTCTAGCCACACCCAGGACTGATTACTGCCACACTTGTTCTCAATCAAGAAATCACTTAAATAGGACCTGCCTGACAAAGTGAAGTAAGACCAAAAGATCCTCAAAAGCTAGACATCATGCTGTGATCCAAAGAATTTCAGGAACAAATGAGAAACAAAGTAATTGAGATCTATCAGTCTGGAAAAGGTTACAAAGCCATTTCTAAAGCTTTGGGACTCCAGCGAACCACAGTGAGAGCCATTATCCACAAATGGCGAAAACATGGAACAGTGGTGAACCTTCCCAGGAGTGGCTGGCCGACCAAAATTACCCCAAGAGCGCAGCGACGACTCATCCAAGAGGTCACAAAAGACCCCAGAACAACATCCAAAGAACTGCAGGCCTCACTTGCCTCAATTAAGGTCAGTGTTCATGACTCCACCAGAAGAAAGAGACTGGGCAAAAATAGCCTGCATGGCAGAGTTCCAAGACAAAAACCACTGCTGAGCAAAAAGAACAAAGGCTCGTCTCTGTTTTGCCAGAAAACATCTTGATGATCCCCAAGACTTTTGGGAAAATACTCTGTGGACTGACAAGACAAAAGTTGAACTTTTTGGAAGGTGTATGACCCATTACATCTGGCGTAAAAGTAACACGGCATTTCAGAAAAGGAACATCATACCAACAGTAAAATATGGTGGTGGTTGTGTGATGGTCTGGGGCTGTTTTGCTGCATCAGGACCTGGAAGACTTACTGTGGTAAATGGAACCATGAATTCTGCTGTCTACCAAAAAATCCTGAAGGAGAATGTCCGGCCATCTGTTCATGACCTCAAGCTGAAGCGCACCTGGGTTCTGCAGCACGACAATGATCCAAAACACACCAGCAAGTCCACCTCTGAATGGCTTAAGAAAAACAAAATGAAGACTTTGGAGTGGCCTAGTCAAAGTCCCGACCTGAATCTGATTGAGATGCTGTGGCATGACCTTAAAAAGGCGGTTCATGCTCTAAAACCCTCCAATGTGGCTGAATTACAACAATTCTGCAAAGATGAGTGGGCCAAAATTCCTCCACAGCGCTGTAAAAGACTCATTGCCAGTTATCGCAAACGCTTGATTGCAGTTGTTGCTGCTAAGGGTGGCCCAACCAGTGATTAGGTTTAGGGGGCAATCACTTTTTCACACAGGGCCATGTAGGTTTGGGGTTTTTTTTCCCCTTAATAATAAAAACCTTCATTTAAAAACTGCATTTTGTGTTTACTTGTGTTATCTTTGTCTAATATTTAAATTTGTCACACCTAAAATGTTTCAGATCATCAAACAAACATGCAAAAAAATAAGAAATCAGGAAGGGGGCAAACACTTTTTCACACAACTGTATATACTATGTCAATATACACATACATTTACACATACACACTACATACACACATGAAACAACACACATGCAACAGAGACTTTAAGGAGCAAGGAAGACTATACAGAGTCCCTTTGAGAAGGATTTGTGTTAAGCCTACATTGATGTAGTATACACACATGATGTATTATACACTGATCAGCCACAACATTGAACCAGTTACAGGTTTTATTGTTGTTGCTGATCGGCGTATATTACACCCACATAAGGCTAATGCAGATAGTCAATACAACAGTTTTCGCTAGGTGTTTATACCAGATCAATATGTGCAACAATTTATACAGAAATATACAACATAACATCTCTCTCTCTCTCTTTCTCTCACACACACAGATCATCCTGGCTCACACTCCCGCTCTATTGTCATTGGTTAGTCAGTCTAACCTGCAAGGTGTAGTATCTGGAGTTTACCATCAGGGCGGCGACATGCTGCTCGACACCCGTCAGCTCAACAGCAGCAGGCTGGCCGGCCCACTCTACTGGAGACTGCCCCCCCAGTTTGAAGGCAGCCAGGTTCTGTCACCTAAACTCTTGACTTGACACTTGCCTTCATTTTACACTTTAAATGTACAATAGGTTTTGATCAAGTCCTTCCTACTGATTTCAGAGTGATAGAGTATTTTCGTATGGTGTACGTCATTGTGTACTATACTGTAAACTCTGTGTATATGTATGAAACTGTATTAAATTGTGCACATTACTGAGTACTATAGTGTGTCACTTTGTATTAAATTGTGTCACAGTGTAGTACACTGTATGTGGTGTTATGTACTGATTTGTTTCTGTCATTGTATACTATACTATGGATGTCATTGTGTACTGTATTGTGTGTTTTGTGTAGCTCCTGTCATATGGTGGCCTGTTATCTTACATCATCACCTTCTATGCCGAGGATGGTTTGGGGCTGTCCAATCAGGAGGCTCAGGTGCTGATGAGAGGCGGGACTCTGAGGAAGCTTGTTATATACACTGATATGGTCGCCCCTAGCAACGGCATCAGGACTCAGCATGACATCAGGATGACCGAGGTACAGCTTCAAGAAAACCTGTCAAACCAAAGAGAGAGCCATGTTTAAATTGAAAACCTGACAGTTAATTATAATAAAAAAAAAAAAATGTGTGTTACAGCATAAATGGAAGTATTTTAACTCAGTGTCTGAGAAGGCGGTGAGTCACGCTGACTTCATGTCCATCCTCAGTAATGTCCAATATATCATCATTAAGGCTTCATATGGGACCAGACTGCAACAGAGCAGGTACTTTTTATATATACACATACAGTATACACACACACGCGCAGCCTCTGATGGACGATCACTGTGTTAAAGTAAATCAATTTGCTGATGATACTGTTTTCTATATTTCTGACATCAACAGTGACACCAGCAGCTGTGTTCATGTTATTTTCTGTCTGTTTTATTGTGTTAAGAATCTCTAATATTACAATGGAGACGGCTATGGAGGCAGAGTTAGAGGAGGGATCAGAAGTCAGAGGAGGCGTGGCCAGACTGATTGAGTCCTGCGTCTGTCCACCTGGATACACAGGACTGTCATGTCAGGTAATGATTGAGTTTTAACTGGCCACACGACTTCCTATATCACCATGACAACCACACAAACCATACTAATAAAAGCACTCCAGGGGCTGGTTATAAATGCCTTCACCTGCAGGGAGCAAAGTATCAATCAATAAAAACATTTTAGTGATTATCAGGTCAGGATCAATAAACAGTGTTTCAGCAACAGGTGATTGAGGATGTCAGGAGGATTAGAACATTGCTGCTGCACAATCAAAATACATCACACTGCTGTTGCAGAGTGGAAAGTACAGTGATAAGTATTGTCTACCTGAATCACCGAAACATGACACTGAATCATAAATTACATTACATGTTTGTCTCTCTGACCTTTCACTCTCTCCGACCTGTTTCTCTCTCCGATCTGACTGTCTGCAGGAGTGCGCAGAAGGATATTTCCGTCAGCCTCAGTCTGAGTTGTTGCCTCAAAGTCAGAAGTCAATGTTTGTTCGTCCGTGTGTTCGATGTCGCTGCAACAACCACAGTGAAAGCTGTGACACAGAGACTGGAGACTGTCAGGTAACGTACAAAGACATGCTAACACATGCTAACATATGGATATATGGCAGGTAAACAGATAGCAGAAAATAGTAAAAATCTGTTAGGATTAGGGTTAAAAGGGTCAAAAGGGCAGTCAGAGTCAACAGAGGGATGTCTCTATTTTCTTTTTTTTTTTACAGGATTGTCAGCACCACACCAGTGGGCGGAGCTGTGAGTTGTGTACCCCGGGGTACTATGGGAATGTCAGTGGCTCTATCAGTGACTGTTCACTGTGTGCCTGCCCCCTACAGGACAACAGGTAACACTGCACACTGATTATTTATTGTCTGATTTATCGAATCGACTGATTTTATTTTATTTTATTGGACTAATTCAAAGTGTGTGTTTACGAGTAGTTTCAGTCCCACCTGTGTGCCGGAGGGAGCATCTGGTGATTTTCGCTGCATCGCCTGTCAGACAGGGTACGAGGGGAGATACTGTGAGAGGTGAGTTATGACATCACCACCATCATCTGTACAGTAGGTGCACCTGACTGTAACTTCATTTTGTCAACTATTTTCTCTTTAATACAACTTTTATTCCAAAAATCTTGCTGATTGAATCTGCTGAAAGCTGAAACTGTGTTCACTTGTATTTGTTTATTATTCTACTAGTATTAAACATTAAAACAGTTTGATTACAGTGGCCTCTAGTGGATGTCAGAGGAATTGCTGCTGCTGTGATATCACACTGACTTTACACTTTCATCCTGCAGGTGTTCTGTTGGTTACCATGGTAACCCCTCATTGCCCGACGGGAGGTGTTCACAGTGTAACTGCAGTGAGTGGGGGTCCCACCACCCACTGTGTGACACACTGAATGGACAGTGTGAGTGTAAGGCTGGGGTCAAAGGTCAAACATGTGACCAGTGTGACAAGAGACATGTTCTGCAGGGAGGAGAGTGTGTGTGTGAGTAACAGCAACCCACATATACAGACACACACGTATTCACATGATGAGTGTTATCAGAGGTGATATGTATGTGTTTGTTTTCCTCCAGCATGTGACAATGACTGCACCGGCATTCTGCTGGACGACCTGGACAAACTGCAAATTCATTTCATGTCTGTCAACCTGAGCAGCACTGCCATGGCACCGTATCGCCAGCTGGTGCTGCTAGAGAACCAGACCAGAGACATCCTGGTACAAACACAAATAAACACAACACTCTGGTATAAGTGTTCTGTATGTGTAATGTAACAGTGTGGTAGAATAAGGTAACATGTTACCTGCTGTGTGTTTGTTCAGGTGGTGTCTTCAGAAAACAGCTCTGTCACTTTCCATCTGTCCAAAGTGGAAGACGAGTTAAATCATTTGACCTCTGAACTCAGTGCTTTACTGCAGCAGGTAGGTTCACTGTGGTAAAGGCTCATCACACACATTTTAATTTCTCATGTTCAGCTGCTTCTAAGAAAATACATACAACAGTATCATCTGTAAAAAAAAATTATAATATAAATCAGTGTAGTTTTATGTTCATCAAAGTTTGTTACACCTGCAGGGTATAGTGGGATTGAAGGTGATATTTTTCCTGTCTTCTGATTGGCTAGTTCACAAGTCTGTCTAATGACCTGGAGAAAGTGGACATGTCCGCCAACAACAGCCTTTCCCAGGGTGCAGTGCTACTGGGGAGTATCCGCAGTATTCAAGACAACATTCAAGGTAAACGACAACAGGAATGTTGACGACAACACAACAATGCAATTCTGACCAATGATGACACCACTAACCCATCTTAGAGACATAATGATCAGAAGAAAATGTTTTTTTAACAAACCACATTGTTTTTAATTAAAATATGATGACATCTGATTGGTTCAGTGCTGCAGAGGGAGGCAGTGCATCTGAACCAGACCACAGAACAGGAGTTTGAATCAGCCAAGCAGACGCGTATGCTGGAGGGGGTGGAGTTCATGTTGGTAACCATGAGAGATGTCAATCTAACAGCCGCCAACACTGCAGCCAATCAGGAGCTCAGGTGTGTTTTTAATGACATGTCAGCCCTATACACTCCCATGTGAGTCGCCACTCCTACTTAAAACTGCAATGTCTCAGTCATGTTTCACATTATCTACACAAATGACACTTGTACACCTTCAACAAAGTTTCCTGATGATCACTTTGATGATCATTTTCTTCATCTTCTAGTTTATAGCATAAATGTTTGACACTCTCTCTCTCTCTCTCTCTCTTTGCAGTCTGTCAGAGTCTCTCATCCACTCACTGCAGGTGGACTTCCTGTCCAGCAGGGTGATGGCTGACAACAGGCTTCACCTCATCTCCACCTCTTTCACTGCCGCCACAGAAACGCTGCGAAACGCACAAACACACCTGAATGACGCTGCACAACAAAACACTCAAACACACACTCTGCTGGACACTACACAAACTCTGCTGCACCAACACCAGGTAACACATACACCTTCAGAGAGGTAATACACACAAACACTGCAACATTTCGACACACAGATGCTGTTACCTTGTTCTTGGACACAATTTCTATTAATTAGGGTCTAAAATAGATGACTTTTGTCTCTCTCTCTCTCTCTCTCTCTCTCTCTCTCTCTCTCTCTTCAGTCTGTCCATCAGAACCTGAGTGTTGAGTGTCTCTTTGTGGATGGAGTGATGGAGGAGAGTCAGCTGCTGCTGGATGACATCATCAGTCTGACGGAGGAGTTAACAAACAGCACTGCAGTAAGACAAACAGTGATACTAATGAAATAAATAAGACAATGATAATAATAATAATATACTGATATTCACTGGTCTGTGCAGCAGGTGGAGGTGCTGGGCGGTCAGTTGGATCAGTGGCACCCCCTGTTGAGGAAACAGGTGGACAGTTTGGTTGGTGGACTGAAGATGACAGACGCTCTGGAAAATGTTTACCGTGCAGAGAGTCACGCCCACCTGCTGCAGAGCCATGCCCATTCCCTGCACAGGTAACTGTGTGTGTGTGCGTGTGTGCGTGTGTGTGTGTGTGCGTGTGTGTTGAATAAACAGTAACTCAAGCTGTCTTCTCTCTCAGCTCTCTGTCGTCAGTGTGTAACATGTCTCAGAATGGCAGCAGATTGGTTCAGCTTGACAGTGACATCACAGAGCGAGTTGACTCTGCCCAGCAGGTGGCCTCGATCACCCACGTCTCCGCTTCCCTCGCTCACAACTTGGTACTTACGTGTTCAGACTGAAAACACACCTGTGTCACATGATGACTCTATACAAATGTTTTTACACACGCACCTAATTTGTTTCAGACTGTCCAATCAGAGCAGCTGCTGTCAGAGGAGGGCGGAGCCAAACTGAACATCAGCTCTGCTGTTTTACAAGAAAGTCAACGAATCAACAAGACAGCTGAAGGTGTGTTTACCTGAGGCCTGTATGAAGTTGTTATAAGATGATAAACGAACATCATCACATGTTAAGAACAAAGTGAAATATTCATCAGTCATCATAAATATTGATCAGTGTGTGGATCATTATTCCTCCTCATGTTCTTCAGAGCTGCAGTGATGTGAAGTGTAAAAGCTTCATCACTGTCAGGATCCTGTCAAATAAAGAATCTGCTCAGGTCAGATGAAGCTACAATCATTTTTATGGAGAAGCTCTATTTTAAAACCATCCACCAATCTATACAAATATTTACTGATCATTATTATTGATCACTTTATTGTAAACTCTTTTGTCCCTGTCAGGATCCTGTAGGAATTATGAATGATGTTTTTCCAATTATTTGATTGGTCCTTCTTAAAATGCAACCTGTCCTGCTGTTTCTGGTGTAAATATTGTACATAGATGTTTTATTCTTATTCTTATTTAACGCTGTTTTTTATTTTTATTTCATACATTATATTTGTTTTCAGTATCCGGCTCTACACATCTGTTATCCCCAGTCTGCTCTAACTGGATCAATAGAGTCTATCTATCTATAGTTAACCTCCTTTGGAGTAGCAAAGGTTACCATGGTGATGGAAACCAGCTTTGTGATACCAGTAAACTTGAGTCAAGCCCAAAGACAGCTGATAACCAACCAATCTCCTGTCTGACTGATGACCCACTTCCTGTTGTGTTCAGTGTCAAAATGAAAAGCAAAGAGAAACAGAATTATGAATAAACTCAGACGTGTATGAAGCATGAAGAGAGGGAAACGTCAGGTCTGTGTGGCGCGATGATGAGGTCATCAATGTCAGAACACAACAGGTGGAGTAAACGTTGTAAACTGGTAGTTATAGCTGTGAAAACATTCGATCTCCATCATGTTCTCCACATGTTTGTCCACATATTCTCCATCATGTTCTCCATCATCTGAGCTCTGACTGGATCTGTTAATGACCTCATCATCTTCTTCTTCTGTGGTTTAATGGCAGCAACTGGAGAAGCAGCTGTTTACCTCCTGAGGAGGAAACAAGACTCAGGTTTTGCATCACCATTTTCTGAATGTTAAGACATGACTGTCTTTCTTCCAGATCTGCATCTGAATGTCTCTATGGTAACCAGCAGACTGGGATTGGTCAAAGAGAGCATCCGTAACTCGAGCTTCCTCCTCCATCAGCCAATCAAAGAGCTGCAGAGCCTCTCTAATGGTGAGATGTTTCAGGATTGGATTGGATATACTGATGATCTGATGTATTGATGATGATGATATACTGATGTATTGATGATTGATATATTGATGATCTGATGTATTGACCGATGTATCGATGGTTGTTTTTCCATCAGGTTCCTCTTTGTTATTGCAGCAGGCTCAGCATCAAGCTGCAGCAGCGCACTCTGGCCTGCAGGCGGCACTGCTGCAACTGCAGAGACTCAGAGATCAGCTGCAGGATTCTTCTTCTGAGGTGGAAAACACCAACACCACAGTGAGGGAGACTAACCAGCTGGTGACTCAAACACACGCTGCAGGTCTGTCAGCAACGTTTATTCAGATAGAATCAATTTGATTAAACAAGAGACTAAAGAGCCTGTGCATATTCTCATTTGTCCAGGTCATAGTATCCTAAAGGAGTTTAAATAGAAACAACTGGACTTGATTATTTGTCTGGGAAGACGTTTCGCCTCTCATCCAAGAGGCTTCATCAGTTCATGTACGCATCTGACCAGGCTGAGACTGGTCCAACTTCTGGTGTGGAGACCCAGGTATTTAGCCTCTTGTGGGCGTTCACAAGGCTGGTGATGTCACCAGTTCCCTTTTGTGCTCCAAGTGTCAATGACAGTCGTTTGCATGACTGTCGTTGGTGGAAAGTTGGTTTCGACTTTGTTAGTGCTCTATTGTGTTATAACGACAGTCGTTGGAGTCACTTGGGATCAACAACAGTCGTTTGCATGACTGTCGTTGGTGGAAAGTTGGTTTCGACTTCGTTAGTTCTCTATTGTGTTATAACGACAGTCGTTGGAGTCAGTTGCCACTTGTGAAACAGTTGTTATTCTTTGAGGCTAGATTGTTGAATCTCCTGGGAAGGGATGAAAGGGCGGCATTGTAAATTGGAGATAGGTGGTGTCTGAGACCTGTCTGAGATGGTTTCTCTACTTTCACATAGATGGCCTCTTTTACTCCTCTTTCGAACCACCTGTCCTCTCTGTCTAGGATGTGAACATTGCTGTCCTCGAAGGAGTGGGCTTTCTCCTTGAGATGTAAATGGACAGCAGAGTCCAAGCCTGAGGAGTTAGCCCTCCTGTGTTGGGCCATGCGTTTATGCAGTGGTTGTGATCAACCACTGCATAAACGCATGGCCCAACACAGAAAGCCCACTCCTTCGAGGACAGCAATATTCACATCCTAGACAGAGAGGACAGGTGGTTCGAAAGAGGAGTAAAAGAGGCCATCTATGTGAAAGTAGAGAAACCATCCCTCAACAGGGGAGGAGGTCTCAGACACCACCTATCTCCAATTTACAATGCCGCCCTTTCATCCCTTCCCAGGAGATTCAACAATCTAGCCTAAAAGAATAACAACTGTTTCACAAGTGGCAATTGACTCCAACGACTGTCGTTATAACACAATAGAGAATTAACGAAGTCGAAACCAACTTTCCACCAACGACAGTCATGCAAACGACTGCCGTTGATCCCAAGTGACTCCAACGACTGCCGTTATAACACAATAGAGCACTAACGAAGTCAAAACCAACTTTCCACCAACGACAGTCATGCAAACGACTGTCATTGACACTTGGAGCACAAAAGGGAACCGGTGACATCACCAACCTTGTGAACGCCCACAAGAGGCTAAATACCTGGGTCTCCACACCAGAAGTTGGACCAGTCTCAGCCTGGTCAGATGTGTACATGAACTGATGAAGCCTCTTGGATGAGAGGCGAAACGTCTTCCCAGACAAATAATCAAGTCCAGTTGTTTATATTTAAACTCCTTTAGAAGAGACTAAAGATGTTTTCTGTGTGCTCAGCTAATGAGGCGCAGCGTAAGCTTGAGGAGGCGGAGCATCGTACAGAGCGTCTGATGGAGCGCATAAAGCCGCTGAGCATGCTGGGAGAAACACTGAGCAGGAACCTGTCTGACATCAGAGAGCTGATTGATCAGGCCCGAAGACAGGCCGCATCGGTACATACACACTGAAACACACACAGACTTTTTCAGACCCATAAACCTGTCCAAACATCTGTCGAAACAGGAATTAAGTAAGATCCAAAACAGCAACAGGATTTTACATTAAGGGCAGACACTGTATGTTGATGATGATGATGATGATGATGGTGATGGTGATGATGATGATGATGATGATGATGATGATGATGATGATGATGATGTCATCAGATAAAGGTGGCAGTGCAGGCGGACAGAAACTGTGTTCGATCATACAGACCACAGGTTCAGTCCAGTAACTTCAACACTCTGAGTCTGATCCTGAAGACGACCAGTCCAGACAACCTGCTGTTCTACCTGGGCAGCAACTCCACGGTACACACACACACACACACACACACACACACACACACACTTTATAATACATACTTATACGTAGTGAACAGATGTAGAAACAGAAACAGGTATGACTGTTGTAGTTGATTGGACTAAGTGTCTCATCAGTCCTGAATTCTCTGCGAGGGTTTTGGGGTTTTGGGTTCAGGTCTTAGGTTTGGAGTTCCACAGTGTAAATGAAAAGTGTGTGAATGTCTGTGTGCTCAGGTGGACTACCTGGCCGTAGAGATGTATGCTGGGAAGGTGTCTCTGGTCTGGGATGTGGGTTCAGGCAGCACCAGACTGGACTTTCCTGGACTGGACATCACCAACAACAGGTGGACCAGAATCAATGCGACACGGTAATTATACACCAACACACTAATCACATGATCACCAAACATCACATGATATGACCTGGTCACATGACTGAAGAAGCAGCGAGAGATAAGAGCTGTAGGAATGACATCACAATGTTACAACAAGCAGAACTGGAGTTACTGTCAGTTACTGTTAGTTAGCATCAGTTACTGTGAGTCAGTGTCAGTTACTGTCAGTTAGGATTAGTTAGGGTCAGTTACTGTCAGTTAGAGTTAGTTACTGTCAGTTAGGATTAGTTAGCATCAGTTATCGTCAGTTACTGTCAGTTATTGTTAGTTACTGTCAGTTACTGTCAGTTAGGATTAGTTAGCGTCAGTTATTGTCAGTTAGCGTATGTTACTGTCAGTAATTGTTAGTTACTGTCAGTTACTGTCAGTTAGGATTAGTTAGGGTCAGTTATTGTCAGTTACTCTCCGTTAGGATTACTTAGCGTTAGTTATTGTCAGTTATTGTTAGTTACCGTCAGTAACTGTCAGTTAGGATTAGGTAGCGTCAGTTATTGTGAGTTAATGTCAGTTACTGTCAGTTAGTGTCAGTTAGCGTGAGTTACTGTCAGTTATTGTTAGTTACTGTTAGTTACTGTCAGTTACTGTCAATTAGGATTAGTTAGCATCAGTTATTGTCAGTTACTGTCAGTTAGGGTTAGTTACTGTCAGTTACTGTCAGTCAGGATTTGTTTTATTTACTGTGACCTCACAGACTTATGTCATCGTGAGCTCATCTCGTTATGTGATGATGTCGGCAGGTTTGGGGCCCATGTCTCTCTGTCAGTCCATCAGCTGGAGTCAGAGTTGGCTCCATTGCCCACGGTCAGGGCAACATCACCAGGGTCATCCCGAGTTTTAGACATCAACAGAAACACAGTGATCCACATTGGAGGAATGGGAGGTCACACTCAGGTAACATACATCATACATTAGGTAAACAGGTATGGACAGGTGTGCAGGTGGGAGTTGACATGTACAGATAATGACTCTGTGTGTCCTGTCAGAAGTTTGCGGTGCTTAGGTCCTCCACCTTTCAGGGCTGTCTGGGTGAAGCTTCACTCAATGAGAGAAACATCGGACTGTGGAACTATGACAGCAAAGAGGGAGAGTGTGGAGGCTGCTTCAGCAGGTATAAACACAGGTGTATCACCACACACAGGTGTGACTACAGATTGAAGACAATGACTGACCCCACTCACAGACTATTCCACTATGGTCGTGTAGTTCAGCTATGCTCAGAGGTCCTGACTTCTCTGTCTCTGGCTGTCTGTCTCTCCACCTGTCTGTCTCTCAGTCCCCAGGCAGAGGAGACTTCTTTCCACTTTGATGGATCTGGATTCTCATTAGTCCAGAAGTCTCTGCGTGCAACCTCGACCTCCATCGTCCTGCTGTTTAAAACTCTGTCGCCGGGTGGATTACTGCTTTATCTGGCCTCCAACAACACTGTACGACACACACACACAGTTTTTGTTGAAGCTCTTATTGTGAAAGGAAACTTAGACATTACCTCTGTCCTCTGTCCTGCAGAGAGACTTCCTGTCCATGGAGCTGGTAGAGGGGCATGTCCGGCTGACCTTTGACCTTGGTTCAGGTGCTCTGATCCTGACCTCCAACAGGAAGTACAACACCGGGGTGTGGTATAAGATCACTCTGCAGAGAAACAAACGCAAAGGTACCACTGCCACAAATGTACGGGGTGGGGGTTGGAGTGTATGATGTGCTTTAAATACAACCATCATATCAGGTACATGTATAACACAGCTGACCAATCATTGATTGAGGTGGCTGTGAAATCACAGTGTCAGACACGACTCTTCCTGTTTCTGACGGTGCTGGTTACCTGGTGTGTGCAGGTTACTTGTCCATCATGGCTGCTGACCAATCATCAGAGAAGGAGGTGCTGGAGGCAGAGTCTCCTGGGATGGCCTCTGACCTGAACCGCTCTGACCTCGACCCCATCTACATTGGAGGACTTCCTGCCTCAAGACCAATCAGGTGAGTCTGTGCGCCATCATGATGGATGTCTCTGTTTCCGTCGTACTGTTTAGAGCAGGGCTATTCAATTACAAATTCAATTGGGCCAGATTTTAAAACCGAGACCTTAACCTGGGCCGGACATTTTCAGCGGTCAATAAGCAGGAGGTAATGACAAATTTCAAACCAACACAAATAAATATAATGAAATAAGTGATGTTTATTCATCATTTCCCCTTTAAATTTTTGTATAACGCAGCCACATCAAAAAGTGCATAAAATACAATTCAAGAACTGTAATTGAACTGAGATAGAAGCAATACTTTTTCACTTCTGAAATATAAGAATAAACATTTTTGTCTTATATAACTCATTAAAAGGTTTATATCAGTAACTTTGTAAAAGTAACTTTCGAAACAAAACAACGCCCTGCATTGTGGGTTACGTGGAGTGTTGCATTCACTGTCTGAAGTACTGTAGGGATTTTGAGTTATTCACGCAAAATGTGTTTTTCTCTGTGTTTTTTTTTTCTTCTTCTTCTTTTTTTTTTGTCTGAACCACGAGCTGGGCCACTCGGGTATTGCGTCTGGGCCGCATGTGGCCCACGGGCCGCCAATTGAATAGGCCTGGTTTAGAGGATGGAGAAATGAGGAGGCATTTTACTTTAAGCTGCTGTGCTGACAGGACTTATTAGTCGGACAGTACATCATATGGCCTGTGCAACTCCAAGGCAAACAGAGCTCTGATCCAGCTGCAATCAGAAACTGACGTGGCTACAGATCACGGGTTAGGGTTAGATGCCACCAGGTGAGGGTGAATGGTGGTCAAGGGATGGGTGTGTTTTAACTCACTATCTCTTTGTGTGGTTGCTAGGCGACAGGTGGTGTCCAGGTCATACATCGGCTGTATAAAGAATGTGGAGATTGCTCGGTCCAACTTCGACCTGCTGAGGGACGCATACGGAGTCAGGAAGGGCTGCGTCCTGGAGGTACGACACACTGATGTAAAAATACTGAACTTGTATGATTCAGGTGACACAGTGACACACATCCTTAATTTTTATCATCAAATAAGACTTCACAGTCACCTTAAGATCAACTTATTACCCAAAACATTATCCAGGAAGATTTGTGAACACAGACACATCGAGCCGCGTCCCACCTGAAGAATTTCAATGTCAGCTGCAGTCTGAGCATTGTAGCTGGGGGGTGCTATAGCATGAAACAAGAGAAAGCTGACTCTGTCACAAGTCAGGTACAGCAACAGGAAGGAAGACCTAGATGCCGACAACCAGGCAGGTACAAAGTCAGGCACAAGTACAGGTAACAGGTGTGGCTGCAGATACTGAGGCAGGGACAGGACAGAGGCGCGGTCAGGTCAGGACCTTGAATGAATGAATATGAAATGAGATGAAATAGTGAAACTTGTTATCTGCTTTTATAATGAAGCAGAAACTAAAAAGACCATGATCACATAACAAGAACAAAAACACTGGACATTATGTCCAGATCATAAAAAAATAATTATTATGTAATTACTTATTTAACATCTGGATTGTCCAGATGTTAAATAATTATTATTTGTCTCAGGACAGAGTGAATCTTTTGTTTTTTGTTTGTTTTTATTTCTCCTTGTTCTGAGCTGCAGAGAGAATAAGAATTAAACCAATCAATCAATCTTTGCTTATGAGATAACAATCAATAATCATTATTCCTCACTGATCACACTGATGGATGATCTCTCAGGCAGTGCGGAGTGTGTCAGTGCTGGATGAAGGCTTCGTTCAGATCACTCCTCCAGCGTTCAGTCAGGAGGCAGAGATTCTCCTCTCCTTCTCCTCCAACAACCAATCAGGAGTCCTGCTGGCAACCTTCAGTGACGACCGCTCGCTCAGACAGGTGAGGTCAAATGACATACCTGTACACTAGGTGTTCAGTCTGTGTGTATACATTTTCATATGTCATGTCATAACTATGTGTTACTGTAACCTGTGTTACTCTGTGTGTGTGTGTGTGTGTGTGTGTGTGTGTGTGTGTGTGTGTTTGTGTGTGTAGCACTTCCTGTCTGTTCACCTGGTCTCAGGTACGTTGGAGGCAGAGCTTGGTGAGGTAGGTGGAGCCACTCGGAGGGTGATGGTGATGAAACCTGACAGAGGATCCTTTTGTGACGGAGAAAAACATTCTGTGATTATCACCATCAACAGGAAGTATGTGTTACCATGGAAACGAACACCTGTCCCACTTGTCTTACATGACTGACATGTATCACCTGACTGACCTATCTCATGTCTCTCAGGTCTCTGTCCCTGCAGGTGGACGAGGATCACTTGAAATCTGTACCTCTGTTGCCGGGCGGATTTCCTCATTCATCTCCAGCCTCCTTCTTCATTGGCGGGTTGCCCTCAGGGGGGGAGTTGCGTCTACCAATCAGATTACAGCATTTATCCAGGTGGTTCAGAGGCTGCATCCAACACCTGGTGGTGGGTGGAGCGTAAGTCTCACACACACACACACACACACACACACACACACACACACACACACACACACACACAGCGTTCTGTCTCTGTGATTAGTGAACTGTTTTGATTGGTGGCTCTCTGCAGACTTATCGACCTATCAGGAGCTGTGAAGTATGAGGGGGTCGAGCTTGACAGCTGCCTGTTGGAGGAAAGGGTTGGGGGGGCAGTGCTTCCTGATGACCAAGATGTAGAACCAACTCCTGACCCTGCCAACCTGCCCATAGCCCCACCAACACAACTCAGCGCCCTCACACCTGGAGTACTAACGGTAATCAATACATTTATTTCTCATTATTGATAAAGGTGGTAATCAATATTTCCATTTTTGATAACAATGACCAATTTGTATATTATTGATTAATGATGAGTCATTATAGTTGATTATTGATCATTCATAATGGTAATTATTATGACAATTATTGATTTTTGATAATTAGAAATAAAATCTATACATATACTATACTATAAAATCTATCAAGTGACTATTGACTATTGATAATGGTAATCATTTAGTTTATTAACAATTAATGATAATTGGTTATTGATTACTGATAATGGTAAACTGAACTAAATCGATCATCAAATGATGTTTAATATTGGTCAGCATATTTTGAATTTGCGTTATTGATCATTAGTTGCTGATTATTGTTTATTGACTGATGATTTGTTAACTGATTTTTGGTCACTGATTGGTTGTTTATTATTGGTCACTGATTATTAGTTATTTATCTGTGTGTGATGCAGTGTGTGTCGGAGTCAGAGCCAAGTTTCCTGCCATCAGCTGTTCAGTTTGGTTCATCCAAACACAGTCACATGACCTTCATCATCAACCCCAATACTGTCAGGAAGAGGTGAGTCATGGTAACAAAGGGGGCGGAATTCTGGTCAGTCGTTCTCTGTGTAAAATGAGACTAAACCCTGTTGTTTCTTTGTCTGTTGTGTCTGTTGTATCTGTGTCTGTTGTGCCTGTCTGTTATGTCTGTTGTGTTGCATCTCTGTTGTGTCTGTCTCTGTTGTGTCCATTGCGTTGTGTTGTACTCGTCCTCAGTGTTTCAGTGAAGATGTTGATTCGAAGCCGGGCTCTGGACGGGTTGATCCTCCTCCTCTCTGACTCCAAACACATGGACTTCATCGTCCTCAGACTGATGGGTGGGAGACTGTCGATGTCAGCTGACATGGGGAAAGGCCCTGCCTCCATCACCTCATCTGTAATCATCAGTGATGGAGAATGGCACACTGTGAGTTCATACAGGTTAACACACACTATGAAGACTGCTGCAATCAGCTGTTACAAACAAAATCAAAAACATCCATCCTCACGAACGAATGTTTGTCATAAATCTCTGACATCATTACCATAACTGATGCCCCCTCCATGTCTATATAAGGATTGCTGTTCTGCTCTGTTTGTGGACACCTTTTATTGACAGGTAAAAACAAGAATTTCATACTTTTCATAAGAAATCATCAGAGAGAAACAAACAGAGTCGTGGTAAAGGAATAAGCTGTGTGACATCATGTCATACGGTGACATCACAAATCTGTTTGACATGAAGTTAGATGCTAAATAAGTTGTAAAAAACTAAATGGAGAGGTGGTTCAGTCCATGATGTAACATGGATGAAAGTTTACATCACATAACAGGTGATGATGTCACACTGTCAGGTAATGTTCACCTGGACAGAAACAGCTGATGTTTGTTTATGCTGTTGTTGATTCAGGATCATGTTTAAACTCACTTACTTCCTGTCTCTCCCAGGTGAGTGCTGAGGTCAGCCGGCGGGTGGTGTCCGTCATGGTCGACACTTCCAGTCCGGACTCTGTGACAGTTAAAGGAAACCAGCTGGACGTGGACAACAGACTTTACCTGGGCGGTCTGCCACACACACACTCCACCAGGAGAATCAATGTACGACATGTTAACCATGATGTTCTCAAACACTTGAGTATCGTTTCAAACATGTCACCTGATGTCCTGATGCTGTCTGTCAGCCCAGTCCTGCGGAGGTGAACCAGGTGTTTCTGACAGTGAACACCTCAGTTCCGACTCAGTGACCAGGACAGAAATGTATTGTTGTTATGGATCTGACCTGCTTTACCTGTTCGTCCCTCAGGTGAGCAGCAGTTTTCCAGGTTGTGTTCGCTCTGTCAGTCTGAACGGAGCCATGTTGGATCTGACCAAGCCGGCCTCGCAGCATGATGTCACTTCCTGTTTCATCAAAGACCAGACTGGAAGCTACTTTAACGGCAGTGGCTACGCTGTCCTCAGTGAGTCTGCCACAAAGCAAATACATCTGCTTTCCATATTGTCTGATCTGACCCTTAACGTGTGTGTGTGTGTGTGTGTGTGTGTGTGTAGTGCATGATGGGTATAAAGTCGGCTCAGATGTGTCAGTGACTCTAGAGTTTCGAACAAGCCAATCAGAGGGAGTGTTTCTGGGAATCAGCAGTGCAAAGGTCGACGCCATCGGAATTGAGATGATCAGTGGACAGGTGAGCACAGACTTACCTGTGTGTGTGTGTTTATCTACAGACATGTTAAGGGTGATCAGAAAACTCCCTGCGAATCATTAAGCCCTGCCCCTGAAACAAGCAAAAAAGAAGAAAAGTCAAATGTCCCAGATGAGTCACTGGTGTTCAAGTAAAGTCAGAATGTATCAGTGATGGTCTAAACAAAGAGCCTGAACTAATGATGTAGACACCTACTCAGGTAAATCCCTCCAATGTTTCTGTGGTAACATATCAGTAAGTATCAATAACTAATAATTAACATTATATAATGTGAGTTTAATGATTGACCTGATGTCATCTATATGTTTTATGAATAAATAAAAACATGACTCACCTGTTTTTCCTCAGGTGGTGTTTCATGTGAACAACGGGGCAGGGCGAGTGTCGGTGCGTTCAGTTGGTCAGGTGTTGTGTGATGGACAGTGGCACCACCTGCTGGCCAGAAAAACTAAACACACCCTGAGTTTGAGTGTGGATGGGCGGAGTTACACCATCCCCAATCCATACCCACAATCCACCTCTGCTGAGACCAATAACCCTGTTTACCTTGGAGGTTATCCAGGTGAGACAAAAATAGAAACATGACTGATGCAAACCTGTCTACTTGTCTCTCTCTGACCTGTCTCTCTCTCTCTGACCCGTCTCTCTCTCTCTGACCCATTACTCTCTGATCTGTCTCTCTCTGACTTGTCTGTCTCTCTTACAGATGGAGTTAAACAGAACTGCCTGTCGATCAGCTCCAGGTTTAGAGGTTGTCTGAGGAACCTGAAGCTCATTAAGTCTCACCTGAGTGATGCTCTCGACCTGAGCTCTGCCCACGTCCTGTTAGGTGTCACACCTAACTCGTGTCCTGTTGCCTTGCAACACCCAACCTGGCTGTGATTGGTGCACCAACAGTCTGGACAGATGAACTGATTCTAATATTGATAATTGATTGTGGTGTCTGTTAGTAGCCGATTGTAACTTTAATCCACATAAATCATTAAAGATTATCTGGAAATGAAGTTATGAATTTGTTCATTCACTCAGTTCCAAACATAAGAAACTTCAGATTCACTCAGAAAACAATAATCAGGTTTACAATTAAAATTTTCCAGAAGTGAAGTTTCCCTCCTGAACCACTGTTAAATCATTGCAGAAGAAGAAAGTTTAAAGTCAAACACAACAAGACAAACTCTGGTTGTTTATCACTTTATTCTAGTTCAGTGGTAAAGACATTCAGAGTGTTCAGCATAAATGATGTAAAACATGGTTTGTGTAACCCTGACACTGGGGGAGTGGCTACTTTGTAATATGACACTAAAGGGAGTGGTCAGTTTGTAATACAACACCAAGGGGGAGTGGTCAGTGCGTAACCTGACACCAGGTGTAATATCAATAAATAAATAAATGCATAGACAGATGAGAAAAATAATTCATAAAAGGGGTTTCTATGGCGTGATGAGAGAATGGCACATTACTATTGCATTATGGGTAAATACAGAGCTGAATTTTAGCTGATAAACAGTGAGCGGTTACAGTGCTAGCATTCATGCTATTTTACATTTCAAACAGGAGATGGTTTGCATCAGAATGTCAGAATAAAAGATCCAGTTCCTCACAGGTGAGGCATGTAAGAGTGGGGTGTGACGCAAACTGTTTGCTGAATGTTTCATAAAGCTGTGATCTTCCATACAATCAGGAGAAAACACACATGAGTTGACCAGCCAATCAGATGCCTCCTTTAACCTGTCAGGCAGGCAGGTGTGTGTTTTGGTAGGGTTGTTTAATAAGGTAAATGCAGTAAAGTTAATTTGTGGGGACAGTTCAACCAGCTCTGGTTGCCTGGTTGCTATGGGAACATGTTGATGACATCAAAGCATCACTCCTGTCTGTCTCTCACTTGCCTGTGTTATATATTTTATTTTATTCATACCGAAGTCGTTCTTTGTCATGAAGCTTTCAACTAAAATCATACTACTGAGCTAATGCTAACTGAAGCTAACCCAGCAACTGTGAGACAGACAGGCACTTTGTGTGTGTGTGTGCGTGCGTGTGTATGTGAGAGAGAGAGAGAGAGAGAGAGAGAGAGAGAGAGAGAGAGAGAGAGAGACGGTATATACAAGTGTACATGCATGCGTGTGAATGTGTGTGTGTTTCTGCTGCAAACAGTGTCGTTGTTGGCACCGTAGTCTGAACTTCAACTCCCATAATGCTGCAGAGGCTTCAGTCCTGAAAGAGAGACAGATGTTGAACATAGAGATGTCTCTTTAGATTTTAGACCCTGAGGCAAAGTTTTCCTTCGGTGGTCACATTTCCACATTTATTAAAAAACAAAATTCCTTTGTTTTGTCTTTGAAATTTTATTTGATTCTGATTTGTCCACTGGGAGTCGGCTGTGATGTCAGACCGATCAGTAAGCTCAGGTTTTCCAGGGTAAAACTTTACATGGCCACCGGAGGGAGTAACACTTTCCCATTAGCCCACATTTAGCTCTGAGAACAGCTAGGCAATGCTAGCCTAGAGAACTGCATGCCCATGCTAATTACCATGTTAGCATAGCACAGTATACTTCAAAGCCTGATCAGGAATGTTGCCATAGTTAAGCAGGTTTATGTCACCACTGTGATTCTGTCCAGATTCTGTTTTCTGTTTTAAAACCACCCCATCAGAACTAGAACCAGAACCAGAACCAGAATGTTAGGAGAGTCTGTTTCTTTATCTGGGTCTAAGGACTAAGGGGACTGTAATATGTAAACACTCATCAGCCCCTGATGTAAATGTGATTTGTGGTATTGGTCAGTATAAATAAAACTGACTTGACTTGATAATAATTCTCTTGATTGATTGATCACGGATCAGCTGATAAGAGGGGCTGGTTATCTGCTCCTCACACTTTCTGATAACAACGAAAACCATATAGTGATCCAGGTCAAACTGATTATAAGATCACCATGTATATGTTTATTAAATGAATATAAAGTATTGAAACTGATTTAAAGATCAAAGAACAAACTGCTCTGAGCCCGTCTGATTGGTTAGAGTGAAACACCTCACTGAGGTAACACACCTGACTGAGAGGGATACAACTCATTGAGCCAAACAGCGTGTGCATGCACGCGCACACACACACGCGCGCGCACACACGCACGCACACACACACACACGCACACACACACAGAGCTGATGACTGATGAATCTGGATCTCTTAAGTTTTATGTCCAATCACATTGTTTTGTTCTTCTTTCACCAACTAATAACCTTAAATCCTTCCTGTCCTCTGTGGCTCCTCCCAAACCTATATCCAATCAGGGCATTTCCCTCTCTTCCTGTGGTCTCCTTCCCGCCAATCAGATCTGAGCTGTTTGTTCTTCGAGACAAACACTTGTGTAAAACATGCAAACACAATGTAATGAACGCTGCCATGCACGGTTAAGCCATCAGCATCCAGAGACTCCACCTGTAGGGGCGGGGCCTGACTCTTCCTGTTACCTGTGATGTCACTAATCTATCACATGATCAGGAGAGACTTCAGTTTCTTTATGGACGACGACTCGTGTGACAGACAGCTCAGGGTGCTGCCGCCGCGCCTCACTGAGTGCCGCTGCCAGAGCCTTCAAGAGAGACACGGGGGTCAGATAAAGGTCCAGGTCCAGGTTTGGATTAACCTTGGACAGACCAGGCAGCACATAGACCAGATATGTCATGGTTCAATCTGGGTCCAGGACTGTCCCAGATTAATTAAGGTCTGAGTTTTAATCCACTCTTCTTAGTCTTCTTTTTAAAGGCCGTTACACAAGATTTTCATTAACCTGGTTTGATGTGTTTACTGCTCTGCTCACACTGTTCAGATACATCGATCGGCCATGATGTGGAGCTCACACCAAACATAAACACATTTATCCAGTGACAAGCACAAAGTTTATTCAAACAAGATGGCTGAGGCCTCAGTGTTCACAGAAAGGACCTCACAATCCAACTCGTGCAGTCACAGTTAATTAACGTTTGAATTCTTGAGTTATGTTCGTCATGGAGACATTAATAAAATAATATGGAGCCACAGATCATCTGGTCGCAGTTCTTTATCATAGCTCAATCTCAAAGCTACAGTTTAATCCACAACATGTAAAATACTGCTACAAAATCACAACAATCTATACTATATATTCTGACCAATCAGAACACTGCAGACAGATGACCTGCCAGAAATCAACCAATCAACCACAATCCAGATCATTGATCGATCAGGGACCCTCCCTCAAACTGCTCATCGAATGATACAGGCCAGACTGTGGTCCAATGTTTAAATCAGATTGAATCTGTACAGTGTCTGCCTGGTGTAGACAGTTACCTGGTCGTGGTCAATTTCTGTGTCTCCAGAAATGACGATTCTTTTCTCGATCCTGGTCTCAGAGATTCCTCCTTTCACCGTCTGAAGAGAGAAACAGAAGAATCGAACAAAACACCTTCACTGGTTCAAAACTCCGACAGAAAAGCTTGGCTTGTATCAGTGAGATGGGTTGCCATGGTAATATGCTTTACCTTGGTGATATGCTTTACCTTGGTGATATGAGTTACCTTGGTAATGTACGTTACCTTGGTGATGTGTGTGGTGGTGGTTGTGTTGGAGGTCTCTGCAGTAAAGGTCTGGGAGCTCAGCAGTAGACCTGCAGGAGGATCAGAGTCCACTCGGCTCTGAAAAACAGACACCCCACAGTCTGAACATTAATATCCTGAATCAACTGGTGAACGATTGATTCATTATTGACATATACATGTTTGTGCTCATGAAATTGCAGGTAGAAAACATGAAAATGTTTACTGCTGACTCATTTTATAAACTACAAACTGAATAATGATTTTAAAGAATTATTCATTACCTTTGTAATAATTCATACTGTACTGACGGGTAGTAACGCCCATCTCATATATTATAAATTAAAAGAGACTGTTCTCACCCCTGGAGCTTCATATGTGAGAGTCTTCCTCATCACTGGGACCTCCTGAAATCCAGAGGGGGAAAATTAGACTTTGAGACAGACCTTAGACAAATGTTCTTCAAGCTTCAGTCTAACAACTGTGCATACAAACATTCAAACACAAGGTGCACAAGCTATTTCACTGGGGTTACTGGAAAAGGAGATATTGCTTTCACTTTGGAAACAGACATTGGGGGAGGAGTCACTGGAGAAGGTTTCACTGGTTTCACTGGGGGAGGAGTCATCGGTTGGTAACACAGGTATCAGACTCAGGTGTTACCTCTTGCAGAGGTTTGGATTCTTCATCATCGTCATCGTCATCACTGTGGTTGGATGGCTGGGTCTGACTGGTTGAGCAGGGGGAGTGGGATAAAGATAGAGGGGGGGGGTTTTCGCTGACCCTCGACCCTCCTCTGTCGTCTTCTAAGTCATCTGAGTCCTTGTCGTCGTGGTAATGTTGAAACAGACCACCGGCATGTCGAGAGCCCCTAACAGCCCTGGGTTTGGTGTCAGGGCTGTTGTTTGCCTCCATGCTGGTTAGCTCCTGCTCACTGTAGCTGACTGCTTGCTCAATGCTATCCTGATGAGTGTCGTTAGCGTCTGGGCTCTGAGCCTGTCTGACTGCAGCCTCCATGGCCTCCTCTACTGCTGCCTGTGCTAACACACTGATAGCACCTTCGCTAGCCTCACTAGCATCGTCATCACTACCCTGGCTGCTAGGCTCATCATCACTGACATCAACATCACTGACCTCATGCTTATCTGCTGGGTTATTAGCCTGGTTAGCATTGCTACCGTCATCATTACTGGCCCATCTCTCTGTGTCATCATCAGCATGCATCATGTCAGCCCCCAGGGGAGGGGGCGGGGGATTACTTCGGGGCGGGCCAACAACACTTCCTAATGCTACCTGAGGCTGGTCCGCCATTGGCTGGTCCTGGTCATGTGACTCTGTCATCAAGAAGACTGTCTCCACCTTCTCTGAAGTCTGAAACAGGAAGTGAACATAAAAAAGGATGTCAGGTATAACAGGTGTGGGGGCTACAGCTGAGTGACCACTTAGGATTCCACAGGTACAGAGTCACCTGGTCGTTATTTATCTGATCACGTTAACAGACAGGTAGACAGAATGGTATACAGGCACCTTCAGCAGGTTGTGTTCTTTGAAGGTTTTTTGTTCTCTGGCCGACTTCAGCAGAGCCGTCAGTTCAGGAGACATTTCATCAAATGTAGGTTTAGGCTGCGCGCGCACACACACACACACACACACACACACAGCACACCACACACACACACACACACACACACACACACACACACACACACACACACACACACACACACACACACACACACACACACACACACACACACAAAAAAATTAAGGGGGACAGACAGGTAAACAAGAGGCGGAAACTTAAGACTTTTGAATCGTATCTTTGATTTTTCAGTAAATAAAGAGGTGAAATAAAAACTCAATAGATTCTCAGTAGAATCTGACAGCCAGGCTACAGCCATGCAGGGGTGGGGCAAGGGGGTGTGGATAAAAGGAGCAGCTGATTTGTTAGTAATTAGTCTATGATTACTAACCAGTATTTGTTGTTGCATGTTTTACATGATGTAACAAACTTGTATTAGTTTCTACTGTGATCAAACAGCTAGTGATGTTGTCAGGTGTGTTGTGTTGCACATTTGCAGTGGAGACTATTAACAGATAGAGAACCTGATCTGGAAATAAGAAGGATACACAAACACACAAAAATACAGGAAGTGATGAAACACAGCAACTAAACTACAAGAGCCCAGTGAAAAATCTGTTTGATGATTTTGTACACCATCAACGTTGACCATGCTGAGACAACAGGCCCCTGATATAAACATGTAGGAGACCCCTCCTACAGAGGAGGTCTCTGTGGTTGTACTTCTAAGGGATTTAGAACCCTGTGACAAATTACAAATGAAGCTTTTTGATACCATGACAAGTTCAAATTTCCCAGTGGTAAGACTGAATGGAGTTTTTAGAAAAAGCAGCAATTAAACCAAACACTAACCAGTCAAAACTGACGGGGCGTGAAGAGCAGTAAAACAGATATAAGCCCCGCCCCACAGCTGCCAATCAAAAACCACTGATGAACAAAATAAAATAAATAAACCAACAAAAATTCAAATAAAACCTGCTTTCCCTTCCTGTGCACCATTTGATCAGAAGAGCAGAAACAAAATGGTGTTTGGGAGGAGGTGAAGGGAGAAGCTGAGGAGAGTTTAAACTGAACACTGCAGCTCCGCACTGCCTCCTGCTGAACTCACTGCAGCTCCACACTGCCTCCTGCTGGACTCACTGCAGCTCCATACTGCCCCCTGCTGAACTCACTGCAGCTCTGCACTGCCCCCTGCTGAACTCACTGCAGCTCCACATTGCCTCATGCTGAAGTCACTGAACTCACTGCAGCTCCGCATTGCCTCATGCTGAAGTCACTGAACTCACTGCAGCTCCGCATTGCCCCCTATTGGACTCACTGCAGCTCCACATTGCCTCCTGCTGAAGTCACTGAACTCACTGTAGCTCGACACTGCCTCCTGCTGGACTCAATGAACTCTCTGGAGCTCAATACTGCCTCCTGCTGGACTCACTGCAGCTCAACACTGCCCCCTGCTGGACTCACTGAGTTCACTGCAGCTTCCACACCACAGGAAAAACTGTCCAAACAGCAGAACTGTGGAGCTAGTTTCGAACAGATTCTGATTCTCACTGATTTGAATGATGAAACTTGACTAAGCACATTATTAGTGTCTCAGGATGATAATAAAGCCCTGTATGACCTGACCTACACAGACCTGATCTCCACCTGGTCCTTTGGGTGTTTGCTGTTTTTCCTGGAGCTGAGGTGCTTAGTTTGAACAGACAGAGGAGCCAGCATTCAGCCACACTTCTTGTTTCAACACAGCAGGGGTTAATGTGTCATGATGAGGTCGCTGTGTATGCTCCTCATGCTTGTTTCCATGCTGATCACCAATCAGCGTACCACTCTGGCCATGGAGGGTGACTTCCTGATGGGGGCAGGGCTTAGGTTCAGCTTATCCACAGGTGATTTAGGACCAAGGAGGGGTGTCAGAGGTAACATCATGCAGGCTCCGCCCCCTTGGCGGTCCAGCAATCTGGCACCGCCTTCACTGGTCGCACTGACACCACAGAGGCCAGGAGCTGGGTCCAAGGGTGAAGTCGGCGTCTTCACCTCACGAATCGTAATCAGCGGTCCCTCTGTGATGACATCATCAGCAGTGGACAGTGGGATGACTCGAACCTGCCTGCCCATCTCCATATGCGTCATGGTAATGTGAGAGTTATCGTCCTTGGTCGTCATGGTGACAATCCTGCCTGAGGTGGTGTCATAGCTCCGTCCCACAGTGTAGCTCTTCTCTCTGATTGGTTGAGGGGGAGCTTGGTTTGTTATGACCCCGCCCTCCTGGAGCGCACAGGTGAGCAACATCAAACACAGACTGACTGATTAACCAATAGACAGGTGAGGAGGAGAAATGAGGTCAGTAAAGGTACTGTCACTTTATGTTCACAGTAAACAAATCTTTACTTCAGATGTTGTTCAGTTTTACTGTAACCTGAGTGACTAATGAACTCCGGTGTTTCAGATTCAGATTCAGTTTCAGAGTCAGATTCAGTTTCAGTTTCAGAGTCAGATTCAGATTCAGATTCAGATTCAGATTCACACAGTCTGGGATCCATAGATTAATAGTTGATTACCTGCATCAGAGCTCACATCCTTTGTAAGGACAGACTGCTGGGTAACGGAAACATAATGTGACTGAACTTTAACACCTGAATGATGACCTGAATTTTGGAGGCTGGATTTTCTTATCAATGATGTTTGCACTTCTCACTGAACAGTGTCTGTGCAGTTTGTTTTCACCTTCCTCTGCTGAAGGAGGAAAGTTTCTCTGTTCTCATATTTATCTCAGTTTAACACCTGGACGTACCTGCAGTATTTATGACATCACAACCAGTCTGGAGCCAATCAGAATCTAGTATGACGCCATGTGATGTGGAAACTTGAAGCCTCCAGGTCTCAGTCTTAACAGTGAAGGAGGATCAACAAGATGCACAGATTCTGAATTTTTCAATCAGACTCTATCATTGTCTTAATGTTTAATGTTTCCAATATGTTTGTGTTTGACTGACAGCTCGGTCCACCTACCTCTGCTGAACTGCTGTCCAAGGGGAGAGGCTGAGAGACAGACAGACAGAGAAACAGACAGATATGGACAGACAAAGAGAGACAGATAGATAGACAGATAGACAGAGAGACAGACATACAGATACGGATAGACAGACATACAGACACAGATAGACAGACAGACAGATAGACAGACAGTATAACAGTATGTTTATTCAGGGTGCTTGATATGATATAAACTGTGTCCCAGTTCAGGTGCTTTATCCTTCATAGACCGCGAAGGCTGAACCAAAACGAAACAATCTGGTCTATGGAGGATTTTTACTTTCCCACAAGTGTCACAAAGCACTGCTCCTGTTGCCAAGCAACCTTGACAACATTCAACCTTTTGGCTGGACCGCAACATCAGGGGCACTGGTCAGCCGAATGCCTGGTCACAGAGTTGGACTCTCTGCTACAAACAGGTTCTATTAGGGGCGTGTTTACAGCTTCAGGGTTGCTAATTCAGCTTGTTATCTCTAGATTTATAGACTTGTTTTTGAACAGACTGGGTATAAACCTGGTTCATGACTGGACCGTGTATGGATATTGACCTGGGGCTAAGGGCTACACCTCTCGTTTTGGGCTCTGGTTTCCCAGCTGCTTGGGAACTGCAAGGGAAGCAGAGGAGCACTTCCAATACACTGAGCCTCACCTCCATTACAGCAAATAAAGTACTTTGATTCCATGTATCATTATTACTAAAGGAGGCAGAGGAATAACTAGACACAAAACACAATGAGCAGGGAGACCGGAAGAGAGAGAAGTCATCAGACAAAACTTCATACTAAAGACTTTGACCAACTCTAAATGTCAAACAGAGGGAGTTAGACATAAAGACCTGCTTCTAATAAAAGTAAATACAGCTGAAATCACAGCAATCACAGTCTTTTTATTATTTATGTGTTTGGTGATTTTGTCAGACGATGTCACAATTATAAAATCAGGATTTGACCATAGGTGGTCCAGACATAGACCAGGTTTAGACCTGGTCTTGTTTTAACAAGGACATGAGGTTTTAAGTGCCTCAGTTTTAACAGTTGTACCGTTAGCTGTTGAACTGAATCACAATACTTAGCACTTACTATACTCAGCGATTAACATTAATATGCAACATATTACACAATATACAACCCCCACCCCACTATCTTAAAAAAAAAAAAAAAAAAAAAACATACTCATTCTCTCTCTCTCTTGTGTTTAAAACTAAAATCAACACGAAGGATCCACCTGTTGGACGAGAACCTGAACTGGGACACAGCTATACTGTATATCAGACTGAGTTTCCTCTGTCTCTCTGTCCTCACCTCGTCTGGCTCCAGAGGTTCGATCATTGGGGAGTCGTCAACCCGACATAGAGGTGAGGAGGCCAGACGTTTCTCCCACTCTGTCACCCCCCCTTCTCCTCCTGCCTCTAAGAAGGATCGTCTGAGAGCGCTGATGGTGCTCTGAGGTTTCTGCTCCTCCTCAGGACTCGCCAACATCTCCTGAAGACACACAGGCAAAAGGATAGGTGGAACAACAGGAGGAAGGAGGGGTGAGAGGACAGGTGGGAGGACAGGTTAACACTGTCTATATGAAGAAAGAACATGACAACATCATGATTACTGAAATCAGATTTACCTGAGTTTTCAAATCTTCATCCTGATCAGACTGTCAGAGAGAGAGACAGAAAGGTTAATGTAATCCACACAGTATGAGCGGTAACTGTATTGTGTTAGTCTACAGATGTACCTCAGTGGCCGTCAGGTCTCCGTCCACAGCTGTATCAGTTAGCTCTGTCTAAACACAAACACAGCATTAATTTAATTAACTTAACAGCATTATACTAGTTATAAGAATATTACTAGTTAGTTTGACACTAAACTTAGTTATAAGAACATTAACTAGCTAATTTGACACTAGTTAAACAGGTATGTGTTACCTTGGTGTCCTGTTTCTGAGGAGTCGGAGGGCTCTGCTGAGAAATGTCTGTCACTCTGGTCTCCTCCTCTTCTTCCACCTGCACTTCTTCTTTATCCACCTCCAACACCTCCTGCACCATCAGCACCTCCTCATCTAGGAGACAGAAGACAAAAAGAGAGGAGGAGTCAGTTGTTTCATTTTCAGTCAGTAGATTTATTTTGTTTTGTTTTATTTTGTCTCCTCTGATTGGTTGTTTCTTTACCTTGCTCCTCCTTCCTCTCCTCTGTCCTCCTCTCAGGAGTGGCTGTGCTGATGAGGTCACTGACAGCGATGGCTTTAGACGCTGCGTACAGCCCCGAGCCCATATCTACACACACACACACACACACACACACACACGTGATGTTGGCATTAGCATCCAGCTAGCTGCAGCAACAGTAACCACAGCAACTGCTGTGATGCTGTCAGCCAGTCCCCATGTTCATTAGCAGCAAAGCATGACTCGCAGCTCGTTGCCAAGGCAACGGCACACAGCCAATCAGAGCTCAGGGGGCATGCACAGCAGCTATGGCCAATCAGCATTCAGACCACAAGCCATGACCTGTTATTATTTAGCATCACACTTCTTGTTATCCAAGCAATACTAACAATGCTAACAAAGCTAACAATGCTAACAATGGTCACAAAGTATTATGTAAAAATCAGCTCTCCCAGCTGTTTAACATCTTTATGCTTATTCCCTCCTGGACAGTCTCGTGTGAATAGTTAGTCCACCTGGCTGTCATGTGACAGTTGCTAGAGTCACATGACTCCAGGTGTGAATGGTTGATTGTCACACCAGATATGGAATGACCAGGGTTCATGTAGCATTGGGGACCTGTACATTGATAACACTTTTACCAGCTTTGAACCATTATCCAAAGAGTTGGGACGGACTAGTATTCTGTTTTTACCAGGACTGGGGGTTAGAGTGACCCCTCGATTATCTGGGCTGGATTCTCTTTTAAACTTCAATATGTTAAATAAGGGAAGAGTGTCAATCAATTAAATTGCAGTATAGATATAATCCCTCTTTAACTCATATTCAAGAACAATTGTAGGGGTCCCAATGACAGACGCCATTTCTCCATTCCTTCTATATGCTGAAGAAATTTTACATCAGCTACACCTGTGTAAAGCCAAACTAAAGCCCATATGTAACAGGTGCAAACATCTGTGCTGTGGTTTTGCCCAGAACTTTCTGGTCATCCATTTCTTATGGCTGTAACATCGTGCCCTCATCTAGAATTTTCAGTCACCCAAACCAACTCCCCCACACATACTGAAGGTCATGTACTGAACCTTGTCTGCTCCTGTGGTACTACTCCCTGTAACCTACACAGCACACAAGTGTCGGATCATAAGGCCGTCCTTTACATTGCTAGTAGCCCTGCTCCTCAAATCAACTTCCTGCATCTGTTCACACACAGGAACATCAACAGCATTAGCATACCTGTTCTAATAGATATGACCCACGATTACACAAACTTATCAACTGATGGCCTGGTATCTAAATATAATGTGCCCCTCTCAGATACCTTAAATTATCTTGCTCTACTTAAATCACGCCCTGTATCATACTGCCCCATGGTTTACACCAAGGTACACAAGGTAATCCCAGAGCTCTTCTTCCCACTGTCAATAAACTACTTAAACCAGCTAAACAATTTCCTCTGGCAAAATCATTTCCATCTACCAGCAGTTATATAATATGTTCATGAAATTTAATGCTTTCCTCATTGCTTCCCCAGCCACACTTGACAGTGTTCCCCATCTAAGCTCCACCCTCTGTTTTGACACAGATATCAAAAACGCCCCTCTCTTTCCCAATCTGTTGCAGAGACTCTCATCCATGACTTTCTACATCCATTATTATAATGTCCTTCTCCTTGGTGTATCCACTTGTGGATTAAATACACTTCAGTATGTTGAATTGTAAAATGTTCTTGGGGTCTTGAAAGGCGCTAAAAATAAATAAAATGTATTTGTATGCATCTGAAGAGAGAGGTAACGACACCATGATTTCACTTGAGTCCAATTTGGATTCCTGAACCTAGTTGAAAGGTTTTGGATGTGTAACGTAAAGTTACCAACTAGGGCTGTGACGATAACAGCATAACCTTAATACTGCAATAATGTGATGCAACAGGGTTGGTGGGGAATGGTGGGTGGGGGCCTGTCATTGGTAATAAACCGCAAAACTGCAGTAAGAATGCATACCAAAACAACCAATTGAATTCTAATGGTCATAATCGAGGGCTTATATATTTCTACAGCAGACACATTTTGTACCAATACTCTAAGGTAAATGTTATCTGTGACTGAACTGGACAG